CTTTGGTCGAGGATGAAGAATATAATTGATTTCTCTTGTATTTTAGATTTATTAACCACTCAAGTTTGATTTATTAAAATTAGACTAGAATAGGTTAAATTGACAAATATATGAAAATGAATAAAAATTTAACAACTTTAAACGATTTCAACAGAAATATATCAATATAATAGATAAGATAAAACTAGAATATAACATTCTAAATCGAGCATAAACAAGTTAAATTAATAGAAAAAAGAGAGGAAGAAAACTCATAAAAATAGGTACAGTGAATCATAAATACGATGCATTTATATTGAGGACAAGTTAAAGCTATGGATCCATGCTGCAAACTATATTGAATGGCTCGAAAAGATTCAATTAAATTTCAATTGAATTTAACATGGATTGAAGCTATAAAGATCTTTGATACAAAATAAATATAAAGACCAAATTAGATTTGAATCCACATTGTCATACTTAATTTGACCAAATCCTAGTTGTTTTAGCTGCAATTAACTTCTTTGGATCTAGTTGTTAGCTGCATATATTGAAAGTCGTTTCATTATTTTATGTTCCTTTGTATTATGTTCGTCTTTCAATTATTTTTCTCGTTCTAGACTTTTCTTGTTAGATCTTATTTTCTTTGTCGATGGATATTTTTTACAGTTGCCTTATTTAATATGATTTATATCTTTGCGTGTTTGGCAATCCATTTTTGTTGCTATTGTTCCTTAGATTTATAGCTTTGGTTAGGTGCGATATGTGACACTCATGGACCTTAATATACTTATTAAAGTGTATCTATCCCATGTATTGACGCACTCACAATTATAAAATCGTGATTGTTGAATTGCAAAAACTAGTTCATCATCTTTTTTTGCACTCTATTGATTATGTGCAAAGATGTTATGCTTTAATCCTTGCGGACACGAAATTATTTTCACAAAAGTTGATCATGGTGGATATATTTCATCAGCTAAATAATAAGTTACTGTGTAATCGTGTCCATTAATTAAGAAGTTTGCAGGAGAATCACGACCGTCAAGTAATTCAGCAAAAATAGAAGATCGATCAAGCACGTTCATATCGTTAAATGAACCCAATCCAGCCAATGCTTCTAAAATAATTCTAGGTGTATGGATATGTCTAGTATAAATCTTTTCATATATTTCGACAATTATCTTTTGAGTTGGTGATAAACCAAGAATTCATGCAGCGTTCTTTCTTTGTGAAAATCAATTATCATGAGATTCTACAACTACTTTAATTTAGAGAAATAATTTACGGCTCATCTGAAATCTAATACAAAATATGTTATAGGGAATAGGGATACATAGAAAATAGTCTTTCCAAAGCCTTTCGTGATCTTCTTCTCTATCATGTTGAATTACAACACGACCGCAAATAGACCCACATCAAATATGATTGTCATTGTTGCGTACCACTTTCTTCTTCTAAAATCACTAATTATAAAGGCATGTTTTTTGGAGTTTAAAAAAATATTGAAAAAAAAATATATTGATAGTTATCTAAAAAATAATAAAACTAAGGGTAAATTACGGCCAACCCCCTGAGTTATGGTCAAATACGAAACGCCCCCTCATATTTGGGTAATTAAAACCACCCCACTCAACTATGTATTGTCTTATGAAAATACCCCTTCAGAGGTAAATTTAGGGATGTTAAATCGGTGAAACCGACTGAAATTTCGGTAAGCCGACATTTCATACCGTTTATGAATATACGATTTGGTTCGGTAAATAACCGAATTACATAAATTTTATGTACAAATATTTAAAAGGAGGGGTGGCTGTAATTACCCAAGAAGGGGTTTCGTAATTTAGCCATACCTCAGGGGTGGCCGTAATTTTCCCTAAAACTAATATGAACTCTTAATAAAAAAAGAGACGTGTTGTTTCCACCCTCAAAGTATCTTATTACACCACGAAATTAATTTTTTTTTTGCCATTTTACCCCTTCTTCTTTCACCTATATTTTTTACAAATTTATAAACCATCAACCACTGAACTAATTAAAATATTTATAAAAAAACCCACCATTTTCACTCGAAATCTCACCATCTCCACCTTAAATGAATAATACTTTCGTCAGAGGAAAAAAAAATCGAATGTCAAAAAGAGCAGGAATTCACTTTTTTGGAGAAATAAATTATGATTGTTTGTATGGAAGGGTCCCGAACTTCCTCCAGAATTAGTCAATTTGGCTTAATATAATTTTGTTTTCTAATAAAAAAATACATAATCTATAGTATTACCTAATATGGAAGTTTAAATATCTTGTAATAAATATTTCATTGCAAAAAAAAAAAAAAAATTAAAAAATTAAGAAAATAGAAATAACTTAGAACACATGAAGATTAAGTGCATATAAGGGTGGTGGGTTATAAATTTGATGGATATTTATGACATTTTACAATATTTGATAGGGAATTGAAATACTTTGGAGGTGGAAATAGCACCACTCTAAAACAAATTGACATATCTTTTGAGAGATGATGCTGAAAATAAGCTGAAATAGAAAACCAACGACTATTGTTTTTATAGTGTGATGTTTAAATAATATAGCCATTAGAATTTATGGCTCCTTCGACCCTACACCCGATGATAAACACTGGATGAGTCTTCTGCTGCCACGTGTCTTTTTTTTATTTTTCTAAAACCCCTAAAGGTAAATCACAGCGGAGAATATATTATAAAATACAAAAAAAGACACGTAACAGCAGAAGACCCACCCGGTGTTTATCATCGGGTGTAGGGTCGAAGAAGTCAGAATGTAATTGTTGTATCTGAGAGTTGTAATATAGCCATTGTAAATATAGCCGATAAAATATAGTCATTGCAAATATGATTGTTAAAATATAGTCATTGTAAATAATAGGGTAAATTATGGCCATCCCTGAAATATGGCTAAATTAAGAAAAACCCTTTTTGTTTGGGTAATAATTATAGTCACCCTCCTTTTAAATATTTTTACATTAAATTTATGTAATTTGGTTATTTACCGAACAAAATTGTATATTTAGTTATAAACGGTATGAAATGTTGGTGTACTGAAATATCGGTTCGGTTTTACCGATTTAACACCCCGAAATTTACCTCTGGAGGGATATTTTCGTAAGATAAAACATAGTTGAGGGGGTTTTCGTAATTTGACCATAACTCAGGTGGTGGCCGTAATTTACCCTAACTAATATGAACGTATTATTTAGTAAAAATAACATTTATTTGATATAAAACAATATAAATTATAACTTATTATTCAATAAATTAATACGTCTACAGAAATATATATATATATATATATATATATATATATATATATATATATAT